ATGTATGCCTCTGTATCTTGCTGTGACAAATTTCTCCATGTATCGCCCCATAATAACAAACCAAACATCCACATTCGATTCCCATGCCGAAAATTAATGGATTTCTCTCGCACGCATCATGTTATCACGTATTCCTTAGGGATCACGAGAATGCTGTTAAATGCTCGGACCAGAATTCGAGGCTTCCCTTGAGCTTGATACGGCGTGATGGCTTCGTTCAGACGTGTATTCTTGTTGTCTCTGTCTGAATTATTAAATATAGAAGACGATATTTTTTGTTGACCGTGGGATAAACGAAGTTCGATAAGTCAGAGCTGTGAACAAAATAATGAAAGACAAACATAAATGTTATCATTTAAAGACAGTCGTGAATAATAATGCATTTTGAAACGGTAATAACGTGCTTTATCGTTGAAGGAATCAGTGAAAATCTTTTTTCCACTTTCTGTGAATAATCGTGAAAACTAAAATCGATTAATTAAAATTATGGATAGCTCAATTAAAAGGATGAAATAAGTTAATAAATCCCAACCAAATACAGATCGAAAAAAAAAAAAGATTTTGCAAATAGGCCTACAGATATTTTACTGCAAAAAAAAAACAAAAAAAAACAAAAAACAAAAAAAAAAACAACAACAACAACAACAAAAAACCAAAAAAACACCGAAATGATTACCAGTCAGTTTAAGGGTGTATTGTTCAATGAAAACTAAATAAATAAATAAAAATAATTTTTAAAATTAATTTGCTCATTTTAGAACAACATAAAATTATCAATTTCAACATAACAATTAGTGTATTTAAAAATGTTTATCTGTAATTTTATAGCGAAAAATGATATAAACACTTCCAGTCACTGGAAGTGTTTCATTATTTTTATCATTATCTTGCATTAATTAATACATGTTAATAATTTGTATTACTTAAAAATGAGCTCAAGTTCATTTCAAAATTATTTTTTTATGATTTGTTTTCATTTTCTTTAGGCCAAGGGTGTAAGCAAAAACACGAGAAAAGTAGGCCTATTATTTAACTGTTAGTTGATGGATAGATTTTGTTTTCTGAATCAAATGTTGAATTGTAAGTTAATAAAACAAATTAGTCAGTTCAAATATGGAATTGATTTTTTTTCTTCCTTTTTTTTTTAGCTCAAGGCAGACCTAAGACAGTTAGGGGCCTACGTCTTTTTCGTTTTATTCATCATTATCAATACGTTATATTTACATTTCAGAAGAAAAAAAAAGTTATTTTTTTTTAATTGAAAAATGAAAGGGGGCCTGTATAGGTCCGAATACACTTAGGTTCAGGCCACCTAGGGAAAAAATACTATTAAGAAATTGAGGCTATAGCTCAAATGATTACACTTAACAAATTTAGAAAAAAAATAATGAAACCTTAATATATATATATATGTATATATATGTATATATATAATATATATCCGTTTTAATTTTAAATATTTTTGCATTATATGGCCGTTTGCTGTTTTATGGGTTTTTTCCCATTTGCCTTTCAAACTTATATATTATTTAAGAATCTCTGTTGCGAGCCAGCGCCGCCATTGATGCACGGTAGAGATTGCATCTTTAGATCTCCGATCTTGTTCACAAATTCACGGACTAGTGCTGTCTCGTTAAGAATTTTGTAGGACGCGTTAAGAATGACAAAATATTCTCTGCTACTGGAACCGATCCGCATAGCTTGTATTCCACTATTTGCATTCACACCTGGGCTGTATATATATTGCCTTGGTTTGGCTCTGTATTAGTGGTCGTGGGACCAGTTTGGGCCCTACCTAAGCTGGTCGAACGTTTCGTTTGGGTCTGTACCCTAGCTGCACTGATGAGGCCTGGAAGGCCGAAACGGATCCGTCTGCAGATATTGGGATTCCTTCCAGTGGATGCTTGGTTTATTTTGTCATTCTGATCGGATTTTCTCTACT